TAATTTATTTTTATAATAATGTAAATATTATTTCTATTATATAAATTATAATGTACATATGTATTATAATATTATAATGTAAATATTATTTTTATTATAATGTAATGTTTGTAATAAAATTATAATTTACTACAAATTTATTATTTTATTTATTATTGTTTAATAACATGATATAAATTTTAATTTACTACACACGTGAATATTATTAATTGAGGAATCTCTGAGAAGCCATAAATTAAGTTCCATAAATTAAAATATAAGTAAAGGAATAATTGCAATTTACCTTGGATAATTCACAATTGTTACACTAACTCTCTGTAATAAATAAATTCGTGAAAGATAAGTCGTTCGTAAATCGCGGTTCTGTAACCGCGGATAAGTGAAACCGCGGATATTGAATCCGTGGAGATCCTTCTACACCGAATGATTCACGCAACTAGTAACAAGCCGCATCTTTTTTTCTTTTCGTCGAAGTTGGAAATAATTTCTGGAAGAAGACAATGAAGGGTTCCAAATGGGCTGCATATTGACGATCGTGCCCTTTCGAAAATACAACGTGCATTTGCATGCGTCTTTTTTAAAATAGAAACGTACCCTTCTTTCGCATGATTTGTACGTAAAAGGAAGTATTAAAGGTAACACGGTTGAGAAACGACTAGCCTTGGGAATATTTTAATTTCAATTTTGTAGAATTTATTTGGTGAAAAACAGAATCTAGTAACCATACGACTCTTTAAATTTTCAAATCTTTTGTTGCCTTTCGTAGTGTTAAGTTCTGCAAAATTAAAGCTGAAATACATTTTTTAAATTTACAGCACGTGTCATCTGAATAATTTGATGTGAAAATCTGACAAAATTTCCGTTTGAAAAAAATAATGCAAACGTACGTGCGTTACTCGATGCAGAAAATATGCATTTATCTCTTTTTCCAACAACGTCATGGAAAAGATACTACAGTTAGCACGAATCATCCTATGTTAACGACTGTTCTTCCCCACAAAATTGCACTCCATGGTTTTCGAGAAAGATCAGATCGAAAGGAAACGATAAATACGATATTTGATCGGTGAGCGATGGAATCGTGTCTACGCAGCGTACGTGTCTGACATACTGATCCAATTTTCAGGTATGCCATCAGACGGTCCGTTTGCGCAATTAGTTAGGCGATTTCGCGGTTCTGCGTTCCTTCCCTGTCGCGCGAGATTAAGCCGGCCCAACTGCCCGTCAATGTTTCAACGATCGCTCGAAAACTCAATTCGACGTGTTTCAAAAAATAAAAACGTCTAGATGATCGCAACTGAACTTTTCGGCATGTAAGTCAAAATTACGAACCTTTATTTTTCCTTTAAGCTTCGAAACCAAATGCAAGTCTCAATAAAAATCCGCTGGTTCGAAAGTTACAAGCAACGTTTCTAATGCCAATTCGACACACAAGTACTCGACGCCATATTGGTTTCTACGCCATAAACTGATCAATTAGTAATAGAGACAAACTTTTAAACGAAAGACTTTCAACGATGACGCAGAAATTAAGGCCCGGAATATTTTCAATGTAATTATTTGACGAACATTTCGACATAATTATTTGCAGTAGAACATCGACAACGTAAGAGGATAACACTAATTTTGATATAAAAAAAAGAATAAAGACTGAGAACGTTTAGTTTCACATGGGCATCATTCTCGAGTGGATTCGTACTTACCGAAATCTGACAGATTATCAAGAAGAAGAAACGTCGATTGATTTTCGGTCACCCAAAGTTGAAGTTGAAGCGAGCGTGTTACGAAACGTGCCGGGGTATATATATATCGGTCGTGCGAATTGCGCGAAAAATTAATTATTGTAACGGAATGGCGTGCAGCGCGCAGACACTGATCGATTTAACGTGCACGCAACAACACCCGAGTTCGAACTGGCGAAAGAGAAACAACGTGCGCGCGGTTCGCAAGAGGCACATAATCGCGTTTCCCTTTTGCCTCTGTTCCCGCGTTCCGATTTCGTGCGGCGCAGGTTTTTTTCTCTTCTCCCCAGAAAGAGGCCGAGTCGTCGTCGTCGTTGTCGTGTTCTCTCATGCGGCAAAGAAAGAAAAAAAAAAAAAACACAATCGTGTCGTCGATCCTCTTTCCTCAAATAAACAAATATTTTCCCACGTCGTTAAAGAGAATATAAAAAAAAAAAAAAAAAGAAAGGATACGTAAATACGTTCGACGAAGCGCGAGTGAGCAAATTTGAATCAGCAAAACCGCGGAAAACGGGTGGTGTGCGCTCAACTTTACGACACCTGCGGCGTAACAACCGAACAGCCCTCCACCGCCATCCTCGTTAGCGGAAACTAATTGTGAACAGGAGAGAAAAATTCCCCTAACGAGTTCAACGGGCCGGAGGTCTTCGATTCCCGGACGAGCGCAATGGCGGATCGCAGGAGCTATCCACGGAATTCGGAGGGAAACGGAACGCGCACAGGTGGTTCAACGCAGCGGTCGGAGGAACGCGTACGACAAAACGACCACTGCTCGTAAATTGAAAACAAACTGCAACGAATTCCGAGAGAACTCTCGCAACAGCGATCTCGTCCATTTTATATCAATTTTGCGACACCAGAGTAAACGCAAAGGAAACATCAATCGATTTACTATTCAAAGTGCATCAGAGTAGATTAATAAAAATAATATACGATGAGAAGGAAAGAATTCTGAATTAATTGAAACATAAAATTCTGTACTCTATACCGCGTACGTATACAATCAGGTGACGCTTCCACCTAACGATGACGCCCGGTCGTTGTTGTTTTCAAAGTTGGAGGCGTCCACGCGCGCTCGATTTAGCAACATACGGGAACCTAACGTGATAAAGAACTTTCGACTGAAACTGTCGACGAGGACACGTCTGGTTCCCGAGGCTCGTCAATTGATCCAAAAGTAAATATCAATCTGCGCGCGTGTACAAACGTATACAGGAAGGAAAATGAATAATGAATACTCACAGGATAATCCACGAAGAGAGAGAGAGAGAGAGAGAGAGAGAGAGAAGCTCGGTCTCTAAATCCTTTCTCGTCGTTTGCGAACCAATGGGAAGAAACGTTGGTAACGTATCAATCGTGCATGACTTTTGCTCGGTCGTGCGATTCACACCGACGACAATGAACAACTCTTTGTCGTCCCGATCGGAGCGAGTCTATAATAACCGAGGAGGATGCGAGTCCACGTAGACAGCAGCTTCCTTCCTTTCCTCTTCGCCCCTCTCGTCTGCTCCTTTTTTGACAAAGCGACGTCGGTCAACGAGGGACAGAGCGAAGAACAGAGTGGAAAACGTTCAGGCTCGTTCCGAAGGATATCGAGCGAGATCGGCGGAGAAACGAGCGACGAGGGAACGTTCACGAATCGAACACCGACGACAGACTGAGGTTCCTCGCGAGTCGCGGCCCGTTCGTGGGGACGTTCGGCGCAGCTCCCACATAATCGTGTTGCTCGACCGCGCGCGTACCCTTGCGAGCAACGCCAGAATTCCCAACGAACGCGACCGAGGAGGCGCGCGAAGCGCGAATCACGCCGCTGTCGATCGCCAGCGTGCCCGAATTTCGATTCAGGCGCGCGATCGCTCGTCGCTCGAGCCGGCACACGCCAGAGTATTGGGCCGTACGGTTGTTCGAATAACGAATGGATCTGTCAAATTTATTCGTAGATAACGAATAACGATTTCATTCGGGGAGGAATTACTCGTTATTTGCGAACAACGATTTTATATGGGGAAAATTAGTCGTCATTTGCGGATAACGATTCTTTTGTACGAGGAAAAATTATTCGTTATTTGCGAACAACGATTTTTTTGTATGAGGAAAAATTATTCGTCATTTGCGAACAACGATTTTGTACGAGGAAAAGTTATTCGTTATTAGCGAATAACGATTTTATAGGAGAACAAAGTTTTCGTCATTTGCGAACAACGATTTTGTACGAGGAAAAATTATTCGTTATTTGCGAATAACGATTTTATTCGAGGGAAAGTTATAAATATACATATAAATAAATATATGTATATATATAGGGAAAGTTATAAATATATATTTCAACATATATTTTTAGTGAAACATATACGTCAATGTTATAAATATATATTTCAACATATATTTTGAGTGAAACATATACGTCAAAGTTATAAATATATATTTCAACATATATTTTTGGTGAAACATATACGTCAACATTGCCAAGTATGTCACAAATAATCTTACAGCAGATTATTTGAATAAACTTTATTTTTTGTACGTTATTTCTAAAATAATAATAATAATAATACTGATAATTGATTATTATTATTATTATTATTATTATTATTCTCTCATTTTTCTTTCCTATATGAAAATTTCGTGGTTCTTCATTTTGCCATTTCTCTGTATTTCCCTCTGTATTCTCTCGGTATCCTTTCACATTTTTACACGTCGAAGGTGAAACGTAACGCAGAAAAGCGATCCTGCCTTTTTCACCGAAGATCAATGAAAGTCCTAACGTTCCGAGTTGTTTGCCATAGGCCAACGCAATTTATTTGCATACTGTAAACAACGAGTTACTACTCTTGCGTCGGAGGAGCATCCACGTCGAAAAAGCTCGAACATAACGGATAACGACTAGAACGTGCCGAATGCGTCGAGTTCGTTGCCCTTACGCCTCGATCCGCCTCGCTACGTCGAATGGTTGCAACTAATTAGCCATACTTAATACCATACTTGATACTACTTTCGTTTACAATTAATCTCATCTCCAACGAAGAGTGCGCAATGTCTTGTTCCACATGATTATTATTATATATATATATTATATATATATATCCATAAAATTTATATTATATACATAATATATATAAATTTATATTTATATACATAAACATCCACAAAATTTACGGTGTGTTTGTCAGATACGGTTCGCAGTTTCATCGCGAAACTAATGTTCCCCGCGATGCGACGTGGCAGCCAGTTAGATTAGATTACCGTGCTTGGGTAATATTGATGTTATTTCAAGCTTTTATTTGACAACCATAAACATACATGCTATTGCTATTTTAATTACAAACGTCGGTTTAAGTCTCCTTATCGTCAGATTTATAAAATTCTATCGCTGCTCGAATCGCTGTCGTTATTCGTCAAAAAGAAATTGAAGGGGGGAAGCTGTCTGCCAGGATACTTCATTTTTTTTTTTTCTTTTAGGATACTTGACGTCTCCTCGGGATGTTCGCTTTACAATAAATTATTATTAGGATACTTCACTTTTTTTTTTTTCTTTTAGGATACTTGATGTCTCCTCGGGAAAGTTCGCTTTACAATAAATTATTACAGCTTATTTTGCAAACAGCACGATCGCTGCCAATGATAAAATCATAGACGTGAAGACAACGTTCGACGTTGCTGAATTGCAACCGTCTTCGTTGCACAGACTGCAGTCTTTGCTACTTTTGCAATGATCCAGATCGTAGGCGCAGCCGTATGCCGTTTCTGTCCTGTTACCTGCGAAACGGAAACACACGTGAATCCTTCGCGCGACAGACATTTTACACGAATGAAAAATGTGAGCAAAATGTAGATGTCTTACCGACTTGCACGCTCTCGTGAAAACAGCGTACTGTGGCATTACTCTGTGCTTCTTCCCTCAAAAGTTGATCGATCAAACTTCTACGTTGTCTCGCCGAAACTAGAAAGAAAAAAATATTAACAAATGGATATAAAGAAAGTAAACTGTGCTCTGCGAAGACACGTAAACACTTATAACTCGCAATTCGTACAGGCCAGTCTATTATTTTCAGTTAAGTCGTGGAACTCCTACTGAAACTGTTCTAATAAATTCAAGATTAATATCTACTTACAGAAATTCACAATTCCTTTCTCATTTTTCAGAAGTCTCGAGGCTTGCATTTCACTTTCGGTAGGTGCCGTTCCTTCTGTGGTTGTCGTTGTTGTTCCTTCTGTCGTTGTCGTTGTTCCTTCTGTCGTTGTCGCTGTTGTTCCTTCTGCCGTTGTCGTTGTCGTTCCTTCTGTCGTTGTCGTTATTGTTCCTTCTGTCGTTGTCGGTGTTCCTTCTGTCGTTGTCGCTGTCGTTCCTTCTGTCGTTGTCGCTGTCGTTCCTTCTGTCGTTGCCGCTGTTGTTCCTTCTGTCGTTGTCGCTGTCGTTCCTTCTGTCGTTGTCGCTGTCGTTCCTTCTGTCGTTGTCGCTGTCGTTCCTTCGGTCGTTGTTGTCGTTCCTTCTGTCGTTGTCGATGTTGTTCCTTCTGTAGTTGTCGACGTCGTCTCTCCCGAGGTTGTCGTACTTTCCGAAGGTGTACTCTCCGAAGGTGTACTCTCCGATGGTGTACTTTCCGAAGGTGTACTCTCCGAAGGTGTACTCTCCGAAGGTGTGCTTTCCGAAGGTGTACTCTCCGAAGATGTGCTTTCCGAAGGTGTGCTTTCCGAAGGTGTGCTCTCCGAAGGTGTGCTTTCCGAAGGTGTACTCTCCGAAGGTGTGCTCTCCGAAGGTGTGCTTTCCGAAGGTGTGCTTTCTGAAGGTGTGCTCTCCGAAGGTGTGCTTTCCGAAGGTGTACTCTCCGAAGGTGTGCTCTCCGAAGGTGTGCTTTCCGAAGGTGTACTCTCCGAAGGTGTACTCTCCGATGGTGTACTCTCTGAAGGTGTACTCTCCGAAGGTGTACTCTCCGAAGGTGTGCTTTCCGAAGGTGTGCTTTCCGAAGGTGTACTCTCTGAAGGTGTACTCTCCGATGGTGTGCTTTCCGAAGGTGTACTTTCCGACGGTGTGCTCTCCGAAGGTGTACTTTCCGAATTTGTCGTAGTTGTCAAGGTTGTCGGTGTTTGATTCGTAGTACTCTGGGTTGTAGTGTTGTTTACGTTGGGTGGTGGCGATGGTGGACAGGTTTGCGGCACAAGATTTTCAATGTTGCAGGTGCCGTTGTTCCTGGGGTCACATATGTAGCACTTGAGCGCTTTCCCTGTTGCAAAAGCAGATTTACGTTATACATGCGCGTATGTACATAAAACGTGAAAATAGGCAATTTCAATGAATATTTGAATTGAATACTTGATACTTTACCCGGTTGGAATGCAACGAGTCCGACGACGAATAAGATCAACAGGGATTTACACGCACTCATGTTTGTTTCTCTTTCTCTTCTTTTTTTTTTTCCCCCTTACAGTGTCCCGATTCACTTTGATACTATGACCGTTTATTCGCGAATGCTGCGAAACTTGGAGATGTAGACATAATGTTCGTAAGCTTATCGCGGTGGGAAGCTTTATCCTTATCGGAATCGGATATCTTCAATCAATATCACTACCTTGGCGATACGTGATTATTGTATAAAAAAATCACACACTGTTAATTTCATGTTCGGTTTTATCTGCGTCTATTCCTTTGTATCTTTCGTGCTTGTGTCGTTTTTTTTTTCTTTTTTTTTTTCTTTTCCTTGCTGACGGAGAAGGAGAACGAATCGAAGAGGCACAACACGCACTGCTGCCGGTGAATTGAATTTCACTCTCGCAAATAATATTAATTTCTCGCAACTGCGGGATTTACTAGCTCACGTCGAATCGTATAATCGGTTGAAATAATCGGACACGTGACGTGAAGCATTATTTTTAAATATTTATGCAAATTAACATTTTTACGTGCATATATTTTTAAAAAATGGAACTCGAACACCCACGCTCCTGCGTGTCAGATTTTGCATTACATTGCTTCTTGCATTATACCTTCTTTTTTTTTTAGATTATGCGCTGTGCTTCCGACGTTTTATACGCATTTGCATAGTATCTGCACATTTTTTAACTCTTGTTATTCGTGCTTTTTATCGTCCTTTATGTTAATCCTGACGTTGTGACGTCGTCGTTCTTTTATCATCCTTTCAAGTGCAATATTTAAACAAATATAAGAGAAACATTCAGAAATGTCAGAATATTCAAGTGGATAGTGAAATATATTTCGTCGGCATCAAGTTTTATTTCTGCAGGTTTATTTGATTACACTCGTGCCGCATATTTCAATCGAAAGAATACTATCGTTCTATTCGTCGAACATCGAGGGACATATCTAGTGGAAACGTTCAGAATTAAAAAATTGTATAAAAGTAATCCACATAGTTATCATAATTCCTCTTTCACAATTTGATAAGTCATCGAATAAGGCAGATAATTGTCTGGAAACTAATAAATAGGATCGATATGATAAGATAAGTGACGATAGTAATTACTTCATTATACGATTTTGATTCACACTGTCAGATTATATAAGACACACGATCTTACATTATCGAGAAATATTTCGTGAGGAATTGGCGTAACGTGTATGTACGTATGTTGCGGGATTGGGCAGGTTTTGATCGGTAATAAAAAGAACAAATGATCGTTCCAAATAACATAAGAAATAAACTTGTTTCGAAACAAGAATGAACGATCATTTCGAGTAATAATAATTTGAGAAAGAACAACTTGTTTTTATGTAAATGTAGTATGTGTAGACCGAAGGTTTCATAAGATGATCGGAAGAAAAATTAAAATAAAACAGGAAACCTTTCGTTTCAAATAAAATTACAAACAATAAAAGTAATAATTTATTCCTCGAGTTCGTGAAATTCGATGAAAATTGTACAGTCTTGTACGATCATATTTATTTATTTATTTTTTAATTCTCTCAGTTTTAATAATCATAATCAGGGGTCGAATGAAATTGTTAAAATGTCCAATTAATTATGAAATAACTGGAACTAATTATGTTTTCTGTTTTCAGGAAACTGCTATAAAATACAGTGTATTTGTACTGAGACTTTTATTGCCATAAATTTGTTTCCTCGAAAGAAGGAAAAATAGTCCAATTAAACGAGGACGCTTATTCTGTTCTAAAAAAAAAAGTAAAAGTCTTGGCAAGCAGATTTGCTGTAAAAAATGTTACGATCATAACTACATAAACTATGTAAGTCCGAAATTGAAACGAATCGTTTAGTGAAGTTTTATTTGTACACGACTTGTATAGAAGAAAGAGAGTTTGATAGTACTTTAATAGATAATACTTTAATAGTACTTTTCCTAAAATCTTAATAAAACGAACAAACTGTTACTAAAATAAGTTACTAATTACATAGGTATTTATTGATCCATCTGTTTTCAGTGTCCCAAGTAATACTAACCAAAGAAATATTCCTAACTTTTATATACTGAAATAAAATATAATATTTATCCAAAATTTACGTCATTCTTCGGGGCTTTTGGTAGTCGAATAGAAAATAATTATCATAACTGCGCCATTGCTAACAAATCTAAAGTGTTAATTTACAAAATTAACTTGGAACGCAAGCGAGACGATCTAAAAGCCAAGAAAAAAAGAAGAAGGTATCGCAGCAAATGACGACAGCGAGACAAATAATTCATACGTTCGTCATTATCTTTAAATGATGATTTTCATCATTTATCTATATGCGGAAAATTCTTAGAAGAGCAACTTTCCCGATTATCTTATCTTTATCAATCGTGCAATCGTGCAATTCTATAATCTCACGATGTTTCTTCAGCTTCGAAGGAAATTTCATTTCCTTAAGGATAAACTTCAAACACACACGATCTACTACAAACACACATAATTTAATTGGACACAGCGTGTACAATAATTCTGCCTGACTAATCGATAATTTTAAACACAATGTAACAATGTATCATAGAGACAGGGGGATTTACACGTATTATAACAGAAAATAAAATAGCAAAAGCTCAAACAGATAAAGAACGCAATAAAAAAGATACGAAGCAACACAATGACACCGCACTAAAATAACTCTCGCTTCGAATCGGTACTCGATTGCAAAATTCGGCTCTAAATTACCGAATGTACTTTACTGATTTTTTACCGTGAATTTCTCATAATTTGCACCATTCGACGTGTTTCATGAAAAATGTATAATGGTAATTTCGATAATTTTAAGGGTCTTCTAATTAAAAGGGTCTTCTACCAATGCAAATAAGTTTCGACAAACGGAAAAAAATTCGCAAGGAAGGCAGTTTAAATATTTAGTGTCTCAATATTTAAGTGTCCGAATATTAATGCGAGTAACAGTATGTCCAAACCAACAGTGTGTACTTTCTTGTTGTTTAGATGCGCTGGAACTATATTTAAAAATTGTATAACTATAAATACTTAATAAATACTTAATTATAAAATAACTATAAACACTTAATAAATTATAATATAATAAATACTTAATAAATTATAATATAATAAATACTTAATAAATTATAATATAATAAATTACTTAATAAATAATTATAAATAATTATAATTAACTAAATAATTATTAATTTAATAAGTATAAATAACTAACTAAATAATTATTAATTTAATAACTATCAATAACTATAACTAAATAATTATCAATTTAATAACTATCAATAACTATAACTAAATAATTATCAATTTAATAACTATCAATAACTATAACTAAATAATTATCAATTTAATAACTATCAATAACTATAACTAAATAATTATCAATTTAATAACTATCAATAACTATAACTAAATAATTATCAATTTAATAACTATCAATAACTATAACTAAATAATTATCAATTTAATAACTATCAATAACTATAACTAAATAATTATTAATTTAATAACTATCAATAACTAACTAAATAATTATTAATTTAATAACTATCAATGACTATAACTATCAATAATTATCAATTTAATAACTATATATCAATAACAATAACTAAATAATTATTAATTTAATAACTATCAATAACTATAACTAAATAATTATTTATTTAATAACTATCAATAACTATAACTAAATAATTATCAATTTAATAATTATAAATAACTAACTGATTATAAATAACTTCATTAAAATAAAATACCAAAATAAAGTAACTTGCCTAACTTGTTCTACTAATTGTAAGAAATTTGTACCTCGAGGAACCAAGTCCAAATACTTGAACGACGAGTTCAAGTTCTAGCTAGAAGAACGAGTTATCTTCCTTCGGAAGGAATGATCATTGTCGCTTGACGAATTTGACAATGTCGTTTTCTAATATATATGTACCTGCACTGTTCACGCGTGGAAACATGTCACTCTTGGTCTCGGCATAGAAATTGTTCGTAAACGCGTGTGCGTCGTACGCGACGCGAAATAAGGAGGCCAAAGCTGACGCCTTTGCATTCACGTATTCACGTTCCTGCAGAGGAAGAGGTAATTCACTCCTGGCCAAGTTCAGGGCTAACCAGTCGTACCGAGCCGAGTCGTATACGGCGTATACTACGTGTACAGGCTATACATAGTTACACATACTTTTCTGCCGAGCAACAGCCACGCTCCGTGAAATCACGCATCCCTGTCTCTTTGCTCTTTGGCGAAAGACACCGTTGCGTAAAAGCCGAGTTCCGCTTCGAATAACAATCTCGAATAATATCGCGGGCGCTGCATCTCCTTCTTTTTACTTTCTTTCTGCCCTCGTTTCGTTGTTCCTTTTTTCTTTTTTTTTATACCGGCGACATGCCAATGTCGAGCCACGATTTATTGTAATTTTCATCACGGCAGATTCATATCTTCAAGAAAATATTATTTTAGAGAGTAACAGAACGTAAGAAAATTGCTTCGGGTATTGAGGTGTCATAGGAAGGATATTTTATATACTTTTCCATATTGGGGCAACAATTCCATAAATAAATAAAAATGCAGTCTAGTCGTAGCGATGCAAGTACTTCAATTTCTTTCCATTGGAGTTGGGCACCTATTTTTATCTGAAATATAAATATCTGTGAAAAGTAAATATAAATCAAATATAAATGCAAAATATAATATGAACAAGTGTAAAAAATAAAGGCATTCAAATCACGGCTATTCGTTATTATTTGTATTGCTATCACGTATATGATACAGTTTTCACCAATAACTTAGTAGAATTGGAATTGATCTGGATCTCTTCTTGCGTGATATTCTTTTCACAATCACATACTTTAGTCACAGTTTCTCGATATCTTTCACACGTTTTGTTTCTAGTTGAAAACAATTAGAAACTAAACTTTGTACTTAGAATAAGATATAAATAATACTTGTGTGTGTATCAACTTTAATGCATGATAGTGTACTTGATAACTTTCCAAGTCCTCGATTTCTTTGAACGAAGGCTCTGACAAAGAAACATTTATCCTTTCTTTTTTACTTATTTTTTCACGGAGAATCACCTCCTGCTCGGTTGAGAGGAATCACTCGTTCTGAGGCACCTTGTATAAACTATTTGTCCTCGACAAGTTCATATAAACGCTCTACTGTATTCTCATACATACAGTGACTTCCATTAATATTGGGACATTTGAGTATTCAGACACTGAATATTTCGATTGCTATAATTTTGCAAAAAATAGTCTATACACTGACTCTTATTAATATTCAAACATTTAATTATTTAAACAGTTATAGTTAAAAAAGAAATCCTATAGTAATCAACTTGGACTCTGATTTCAAAGCTTGAAGCCTCTATTTTCAAAATGTGTCATTCATTTTATTTTATATTAACATTGTGTGAGTAAAGATGCTTTTCTTGTCGAAAATGCAAATAGTATGTAAAAATATTTAAAAAATTGTTTTCATGACTGAACCGAATTTATAATGAACCCGAGAAGTTTAATGAACATCTCTTTTTCGCCATTTTATTGAATATTAGGCTTAGATGATGAGAACTCAAGAAATCGCAATATTTTCAAAGTTGAATGAATAAATTGATGAGAAAAAAATCGTACAGCAGGTATTAAAGAAATTTCAATCTTCAAGTCCATTGTAGATTCAGTCACGAAAAAAATTGTTCAATGTTTTTATATACTATGACAATTTATGGCATTTTAGAGAAGAGAAATGTCCTCACTTTGCCATCTGCTACAAAGTCGGAGCTTATTATTGCACGATTTTCTTTTCACAAACTTATAACAGCAGAAATATTTCGTTCATAGATATTAAATATGCTCCCAATAACCTGCAAATAATGAATACTATTCAACGAATAGCACTCAAACATAAAAAACGTATCCTTTTATCATGCAGATTCTCCGTTCAAAAGTAGTATTATATAGCGTGACGCTTCTTTCTACAAAATTCCACAGGAACTTCTCGTGTAGGAGAACATGCGAGTTGGAGCAGAATTTTTTGAAGAAACGAAAGGAACCTGTTTGGTGCAGTCTGGTACTGTGTGCGACATACACATGACTTAAGATCCGAAGAAATCGGTGAGTAACGATGATTTTGTATGCGCATAACGCCGGGCCACACTCTGTCTCGAGCAGGAAGGTGTACAAAGTACGTAAGGCTCGAACGGATTCGCATACTAGGCAACGTTCCCCTCGTCCTTCTTGGTCGCCGCTCGGCTATATTCCAGGGCTGCGTTCCCGCGCTCAGCCAGCACAGCAACTTCAGTCTCGCTCTCTACCGTCTGCATCCTGGAATGCGGTTGTTCCACTCTACACCGACACTATACACCGGCTCTCCCCATTCGCTACCAGCCGCGAATCGCGTACGCAACAGTGTTTATGACATAAGAAATATTACAATATCTGGGTGGAGAAGTAACTATACTGTTATCCCCCGTGGTTTCTTTTCTCTTCCTTTTTTTCTCTCTCCTCTCTTTTTTCGTTTCTGATCGTGGATGCACTTTTGCACGTGTGCACGCGCCGCTTAGCGTGGTAACTGCGTCGATCGGCGCAATCGTCACGGAAGAAGGCTGCTCCGTACAGGACGTTTGTTGAATTCGTCCTCGACGTCGCGAAGATCTGGCGGATCCGCGAAACCGCTGTCTTCGTAACGGGCGCATCGTGACCCTGGCGATCTGGGCGGGTGCATCGCGTGTATGCTGGAACAGAGCGACGGATACAGAGTATCGATAGTATTAAGGAAAGTGAAGGTCTATGTTACATTCACCAGATTCCGAGATAACGCAGTTTAACACCGGAACAACCAAACTTTGATGACGTGTATCGACATACGTATGTATATACAGTAATATTTATAGAGCTGAGTAATATTTATAGAGAAAATATTTTAAATAATATTTGTAATATATATTTACAATATTTTAAATAATATATATAAATATATACAGTAATATTTATAGAGAAAATATTTTAAATAATATTTAAAATAGATACAGTAATATTTATAGAGAAAATATTTTAAATAATGTATCCTTCACAATTCATATAAAATAGTATTTCAAATAGGACATAAAATTTCCAGTAAATAACATTTTATTTTGATAATCATAATGATAAATATAATTGTCTAGAGATTATAATTCAAATGATAGTGATTCAAGTAAATAGATCTATACACAATTGTATTTTTCCTTGAATAAAAATTGATAATTTAATTTTGGCAAAAGTATTCTTGTCTCTTGACTCAAGAGAAAAGGAAATCTGGAATCGTTAACCAATTTAATAAAATTGCGAAATTATTAAATACAAATCGTTGCGATGTACCGAAACATTCAAAAGCAAAATATATGTGTAAAATCAGTGAAGAAGGAGTGGAAAGAAATTTAAGAAACGTGCAACGTATCCTGTAAGAAAGCAAGAATACTAAATATAATTTCTAAATCATGCAGGACGTATGAATTTTCTCCTCTCAAATGTACATAATCAACTAAATATAATATATAAACTGGAAAGAAATACATCTGCCGTGTATCTTCTAATTTTCTCTTTTTTTTCGTTCAGCATGCTCGGAACTCATTTTCAACAATATAAATCATACCGATACACAGATAACACTGATCGCGAGGAAACTAAACCGATAACGATGCGTAATGAAAAATTGTTTAGAATAATAATCTCGACGACGTGTTTCCAACGTCACTGCGAAATCTGCGACGAGGACTCTGCAAGTAAATAATCGTCGCTTTTTCTGTGACTCGATCGTTTCCTGCCTCGGCTTTTAATCGCGGCAGCTGATACGCGCAAGTGAAGAAGAAAAAAAAATTGCGCTATCTCGCGCGCGGCGCATACTCATCGCGCGCTGATATACAATATTGTGTCGATTTGTTGTGCATGCTTTTTACACGAGTTCCTAGAAACACGAAGGGGAACTCGTTCTCAATCCCGAGGTAATAAAGCCGATAATGTCGTAGCGGGGAATTTTACCTGGTGCATCTGGAAGGACTGGTCGTGTCCAATGGCTCGTCGTATCTGCGCGAAAGCATGGTGAAGTCACGGTGCGCGGCCACGATTTTCTGTAGCCGCGAAATTATTTCGTAATCGGGTGTGCAGATCGGCTCCGACAGTAATTTCACCACGGAAACACGGAAACTTTGCAGCTGGAACAGGAAACGCACGACTTAATTGATTAAAACGAGAATCAATATCGATACGCAGCGCGCAAACTGTGGAGTTTCTTTCGTGAATGCATCTCCTACAGGGTGTCTGGAAAAAAGTTTGGTGCCAAGCTTCGTCAAAGCAAACGAAAAGGTCTTAATAAACAACTATATATAGTATAACTTCTAAAAAACTTCATTACATATAATAGACACGTTTAATGTTGTATTATATATAGAGTCACGTAAGACTAGAACCTGAAATATTCTCGAAACAATTAATTCATCAATTAATCAAAAACCGTTGAGGGGCACTAACTGATATAATCATTATCTTTCAATGTTGACGAAGGCGTTTGAAGATCAAGTTTGTTTCTTTTGAAATCGAATATATTTTTTAATGGAATAGTCGACTCAGTTTGTCATTCTTTATAAAAAAAAAAGTATTAAACCGAAAATAATTACATCGAAAAAAAAAACCATTGATTCAGGAGATATTTTCATAACAATATTGCAGTATGATACTTGTCCAGAGTTGAATTTTCTTTCGTCTAATTGGTTATTTAAAGTCGTATCAATCATTCATCAATCTTTTTTGCTTTTTAAATTAACAACGTTGTTATGTAAATTATGATTAATATATTAGAGGAACGTTAATTATTATTAATATATTATTAATATATCAGATATATATCAGAAAAATACATGTTGCAATGTCTCAGATAAATATACTTATTAATAATAAATATAACTACTATTAATAATGTAATTTCCTTTAAGAGAGATGTATGAAATTATCACAAAGGAGAGACGAGGATTAAAACGTCACCGAGATTCTTGTACAATCTTCTTTTTATAAAATTCCAACAGTCTAAAATATCGATAACGGTTTGCTGTTCCAATTATCCTACTTTTCGCTGTAAACACTTACTTGCGACTCTCTTTTCGTCAGCTCGGAAAGATTCTGCTTGACCTGCGCCATCTCGTCCCTGAGCAATTGCAGCGAGTGATCACTGATAGACCTCTCCTGTTCGGCAGTCTCAGTCGTACTTCTGATTTGCTCCTTCAACAGTGTTAACTTTCGGTTGCATCGCGTCCTCAGCATCTCGCTTTCCACCAATCGTTTCTGAACTTCTTCTATCTTCCGGCTGCGTTCCAAAGCAGCTATCTGATTTGAAAGAGCAACTCTCACCAATTGCGCGGCCGTGGGTGTAAAAGGTTTAAAGGTCCATTTGTAATATCGACGAACCGCGCACGAGCCGAGTGTGGAGCTCGAAGCACGTGTTGATCGTTATTTCTAATTATCCATTAATGTATAAAGCCCAACGAGCAAATGCACTCGACTTGATTTGAAAAAAATTAAGCCTCGTGCTTGGACTATTGGAAAGTGAAAATGAAACAAAAAATTTTGTACCGTGATCTGAAAAATTGGTTACAAGGAGAAGGAATGCTCTGCTTGTGTTTCACGATTGACCCAAATTAAATAGACGCTTCGTTTCCTTTTTTTGTATAATTTTTCCCCCTAATGGCTATCACAGCTTGATTTCTTTCAGTATTCTTTATGATCGAAATTACGCACGCCGGCGATAATGGAACGCTATCGATACGCGTTTCGTTCTGCTTGACTTGCGCGGGTCTCGTCGACAGTATAAATAAACCTCAATGCAGAAACAAGTAGAAAGAGAGGGAAAAGAAGAGAGAAAGAAACGATGAGACCAGGTATTATACGTCATGACATCTCGTGCTCACTTTGTAATCCGCGGCTTCCGTCAATTGCGCGCTTAACTCGCGGTTCCTCGATCTCTCCTCCAGAAGTTGAGCCTGCAGGCGATCGATTTGTTTCGACAGTTTCTTCGCTCTTGAAAAAAAAAAAAAGATCATTCGTGAGAATCGAGGTAGAACAAATTGATATTATCGACGATAAATCCAACAGATAAGCCGTTCACAGGCCAAAGTACGATAATTAAACTCCACTCTCTGAATTTCTTCTTTTTTTTCTCTTTTTTCTCTATTGCAAAACACTTGATCGATGTTTGACTTTCGACAACGGTGTATAAATAATTATATAGGTTCATCAAACGAATCTCTCTATGTGACTTCTTTTAAGAAGTGATATCTTCAAATATTTCACATAGATATTATTTATATATTATGTATATTATTATATGTATCTGTATTATTGTATATCTTTATATTATTCATCATGTTAATAATGTATATTATTATTATTATATACATTATTATATTATTATATTATTTATATATTATATATTATTATATACATTATTATATTATTTATATATTATATATTTATGCCTGTTTCCTTTAATTTTCATTTTCATATCAATTTTCTCGCCAACGCTTTAAACTGTTATAACTTATTAATAAAAAAAATTGTAGACCTATTGTTAAAGCTTTTAAATCCACTTTCACAATACTCCGTTCATTTCTTCCAAAAGAATGTTTTTACATCAGTTTGAAAGAGATTGAACAAAGATACATTTCCTCTGAGAAATTTTGCAAATTTAAACGTTTTTGTGGACGCTAAAAAGATCTTTTTCACAATTAAATTCGCCACTATCTTGAAGATTGAAGTCTTCCCTTCGAAACTTGAAATTTAAAATTTATCTCACGATTCTTACTTTTTACCGAGTTACTAATAAAAGTTCAAAGTATCGATGATTTTTCATCCTGTGTACGGAAACTTCCTGAAATCGGTGTACATTATTTCACCGATTTCTCTACTCTTTGTTTCGTGGAGTTAATCGATTTCCCAAATGAGCGGCGCAAATGCATACCGAAGATTCGCCTCGTCCCTTTCACTTTGCAGAAGCGATTTCATCTTAACGCTGTCCTCTTGAAGCGACAATTTCCTACGAAGGAGATCCAAGTGAAGATCCCTGCGTTGCAATTGTTCCCTAAGTGTTCTCACGCGGCGTTGCAGCTGATACACCACCGAGGTCTAAACAGAGAGAGAGAGACAGAGAAGAAGAAAGAATGTAGCTCTAGCTAAGGAAACGCGTTTCTTTATCGCGTGAATCGATTGCCTACTGCAATAAAAGCGTGCAAGAGTCGCGAGAGCAGGCTTGGACACATTTTATTCGAAGCAAAGTAGTAAATAGCAATTTGAGATAATGAATTATTTTAATTAATTTATTGGGTGTCATTTGAGTCTCTTAAAGATAATTAGTAACAAAAGCTTGTTTACTGTTTGAGTTGTAAATATAATGGGTCACAAATCCTCGAGATCTTCTTTATAGTCAAAATTTCTGATACAACTGTTACTGTCCTAGAGTATAAGAGGCTCTGTCGTATTCGAATAATGCCCAAGCCATGTTCAGTGAGAAACAGTGCTCTCGAGCAGCCTTCGAATATACGAAATCGACGATTCGCAAAAAACTGTTGCCAAAAAGAAAAAAAAAAAAAAAAGAAAAGGAAATGCCGCCCGCCGGAATGGCTTACTTCTTTCATAGAAGGAAGCTCGTGGAAGGATCGCTCGCGTCGTATCCTCGGTAAGATGGTGTAGTTGCCGCACGAGTACTGTGACGAGAACATTTTGCGACGCAAACAAACACAGAACAAACGAGACAACACATTAGCAATCTGATCGAAGGGGTTAGGGGGGAAGAGGAGGGGGGAGGGTTCGGCACGAGTGGAAAGTGAAATCGAGCCGCGGATCGGTTCGATATCTCGTGTTCTTTTCTTTCTTTTTCTTTTCTTTCTTACCTTGTCCACCAGTTTGTCGGTTTCTAATCGGGCGAGTTGTTCGGCGCGTACCAAAAGCGATTCCGTTTGAAGATCCAGCCCCATCTCCTCCGAGATCTCGTCCATCTGCATCGCTTTCCCTAACCGGTCCAAAAACGTTACCAACTAGGACAGTTGGAAACGCTCAATACGATTAGTCGGAAATGTCACATTGAAACGCGCCACGTTTTTCTATGCACGATCGCCAACGCTAAGTATTTAACTAAGTTTTTCGTTAAGAAAAAAAGAAAATTGCACGACGATGAACATCAGATTAGTTTTACAGCTTGAAGCCTCCCCCACTTTCAACTGCATCGTTCATTTTATTCTAAAATATTCTTTGCATTTTGTGTAGTAGACACTTCCCTTGTCGAAAATGCTATAAATTGTCACGTTAGGCGCTGAAAACTTGTTTCTTTACGAAGATTGAAGCTTTTCCTTTACAATGACGTTTTTACATTCGATGTGCGATTTTTTTTTATGCGAATTTGAAGAAGAAATCGCGTATAACATTTTCATATGACGTTTAAGATTCCATAAAATCATACCACAAGTTTCGGGGGAGTCATTGTAAAGAGGAGGCTTCAATCTTCGAACTCATTGTGAATTTAGCCTTGGAAAAAGTTTTTCAATGTTTTTACATACACGTGGCAATTTTGTAGCATTTTCGAGAAGAAAAGTCTTCACTTTAAAAGATATCTTAAAATAAAATGAACGTAGAGGCTTCGAGCTTTGAGACAAGCCCAAGTTATTCATTTACGATTTAGTTTTATAAAATTATAACAGTTTCCATATTCGGTGTACTTAGAAAATGGTAATTGTCCACGTATTTTTGAGCGGCAGTGCACGTGTGAATAATAATTACCGTTTGCTTCTCTCTGCGCAAAGATTCCTTCGAGAGCTCGCAATCCGCCAACTCGGCCTCCAATTTGCGAACTTTACTTTGCAGCTCGGATCGTTCGTCCTCCAGATTTCGCATCTTCGCCACCGTTGTGTCGATCAATTCGCTCTGTCTGGTCGTCGATTCTGTCGCCGTGTTTACTTTCTCTCGGAGCTTTTGAATCATCTAGAAACGAGAAAAGATATTAAGGACTGTTTGCCTTTTTTTAACTTTCACTCAATATAACACGTTATTGAACAATATATATATATACAGTATTATATCAATATCATTCATATAAAATGAACACGTGTCAATATAATACTAATTTGCTATTCTTAAGAACTTAATATAAAGATGATATGGTGGGCTCAGAAGCCAATCAATTAAGTCAGTTTTCGTCAAAAGTAATTTGTGCCGTACAAATATATTTTTCAAACGTCCCATGGAACAGTTCATTTATGACATCGTAATAATAATTATCTTATAACAATCATATTATGACGATTAAACTATTCTCTCGGCTGACAATTTCAATAACAAAAAGATATTTGTTATTAAAGTTAGTTTCTCAGTTGTCCAAGTAAAAACTTTTCTAATAATTCAATTCAAAAACTACAAACTTAGAGTGGTGTCACTATCAGCGAGCAACAAAGTGAATTATTTATGCGTTAGAAATCAAATATATGAAACGTACTTTTTATATCTTTTTACTTTTTTTTTTTAGAGCGAACGTGCGCATCTTAAAATAATGTAGAAGCCAACAGAAAGTAGTAAGAGAAATATAGAAGTACAAGAGCCTGATCCTTGTTCTCGGCCAAGATCTCTCTAATGCGATCCTTAATGACGTTCTCGTGGGACTCGATGAATCTGTTCGGCCCGTTGACAAGCATCGCCAACGATTCCAAGAGGTGTCGCAACTCGGTTTGCACGCGCTGACACTTCTCGTCCCGTTGCATTAGATCTTCTGCAGGGTGAAAAAAGAAAGAAGAGGAAGACGAGAAAGAAGAAAAGGGAGGAAAGATGACAAGTCGGGGAAATAATATTCGCCGAACGGATCACCTCGTAACTGTCCAATCAACGCTTCTTGATTCGATATGTTTCCAGTCGCGCTGCTGATGCTCCTGTTCGCGTTTAACAGCTTGTCCCTCAGCTCGTTTACCTCTCTATCCGCCACTCTGCACCGCATCTCGACGCATTCTTTGTCCTGACGAAACGAACGATCGAAATGAATTAATTGATCGAAATCTCGAACAAGTTTACATCCGTTGGCGCAACTCAAAATAAACTTTGAGCTTTGCAGCTTCGGAATCGGGTTTCTCTAGCTTTCAGTTTGGTTTCTCGAGCGTTGAAATGTAAAAGAATACTTCTTCAACGATTGGACTCGAGTTGTTTGAATTATAATATGATTATGATTACAAAATTTTGGACTTTTGATTATGTACAAATTTAAAATATTATATAACTATTATATAAAATTTTAAATTTTAAATTTTAACTTTTGATTATGATTATAAAATTTTAACGATTGGACTCGAGTTGTTTGAATTATAATATGATTATGATTGTAAAATTTTAACTTTGTGGGAAAAATTTTAAAAGCTTTGAGAGCTATGTAAGTCTTGAAAACTTCGTGTGACATTAGTCTTAAGAACTCGGCCTTTAAAGTTAAATTTTGAAACTTGAAAGACTCAAGTTTCAAACATCACTGGTTTTATCTTGTATTTAGCAGATCCCAAAAAGAAAAGATCGTCGAAATCGGAGAGTAACTTCCCCACGAGTCATTATTTTTTTTTTTTAATTTTATATGCTTTGCAGTCTTTACTATCTCTCCCTGTTTTTCTATCCAAAGGATGATATTCGTCGGAAATAAATAAAGGATTATTCATATAACGGTAAATAATCCTAGATGTACCTGTCTGAGACGATCCAAATCGACCAACTGCGAGGACACCTGCCGCTGAAGTTGCTCCTTCTCGGCTACAACACGGTCCAAAGCGTCTCGACAGCTTCTGAAGTCGACCTCAACGGTTGTCAGTTGCGCCTCGACGTTCGTATTCTTCGTGCGAACGCGGCTCGCCTCTTGCACCAGCTCCTCGACTTTGTGGATCACGATCTCGGGACTAGGATGAACGGTTTCGCGATACTCGACGCTCAGAGCGTTCGCCAGTTTCCGCGCGAACTCCTTTATTGAACGAGCACGTGGAGAATTTAAATAACAGAGATCGGCCAGAGCGGGAGGGAAAAGTTTAGGTTGGAGTTGGAAGTCTAAAGGGCTAAAACCTGTAAACTCGAACGGGCCCGCTCTCTCGATTCAACCTCCTCCGACACGGTCTGCTCCAGTTGGCGTATCTTCTTCTCGTATTCCCGATTTTTCTCCTGGTGATACTTCAAGTCTCGTTGCAGGCCCTGCAGCACGCTCTCGTTTCTTCCCTGAGTCGCGTAAAGATTCCTCTCGCGTTCTTCCAGTTCCTAAACCATCGATGCGATCAAGCTTCGTCCAGAATTCATTTTACAAAGTGTGATCGGAATCGAACGGTATGACAAGCCAAACGCAGAACACGTTTAGCTGTTTAAAATTTGAACAGAGTAGTAGAAATAAATAATATGGAATAATAATATATAATATGTAATATTATAATAATAATAATAATAATGTAACATACTGTTGTTAAGTAACTAATAGGTATGACAAGCCAAACGCAGAACACGTTTAGCTGTTTAAAATTTGAACAGAGTAGTAGAAATAAATAATATGGAATAATAATATATAATATGTAATATTATAATAATAATAATAATAATAATGTAACATACTATTGTTAAATAACTAATAGGTGTCAATAATTAATTAATTTTGCTAATAATAACTAGTTAATTATAATTAAATTTAATTCTTAACTGGTATCACATTCGAAACTATAAGAATTTATATTTTACATTGCTTATTTTTTGACATTTTTTTATTTGACTTAATTTCATTATTCATTTCTTCTGATTTAATCTTAGAGTAAAATATAAAATGACTAAAATGTATAAATGTCAAACATAAAATTAAATTAAATAATTTAAACTTGTAGTACAATACACGTTACTATAATCATCGATTCCGCTTGAGGGTCAACTGATTAGTTCAAATATGGGAGATGTTACTGCATTATGAGTAAAAAAGAGAAAAGTAACCTGTATGCGTTCTTTTAAGCTTAAAACAATGGCATTCTGTCTGGCTGCTTGTTCACGAAGTTGTTCCGCCTCTATCTGCAACTCCACTATTCGTTGATCCCGAGACCTCACAAGATTCTTTGTTTCTTGAAGCTGGACACCAATTAATATTAATCGAAACGATCGCGCAGTCACTCGAATCACGTTGGTAGATTGTGGATTTTTATGTATTTATAGAAAGTGCGAAAACGTAAAATTTCATTGAATGCGCGTAACATAAAAAAGTGTATAACTCTACATATAGATCTGTATCTAGTTTAATATCTATATTAAAACTATATATAGTGTTAGAACTATATATATTAAAACTATATATAGTTCTATAAAACAGACGGTATATAGATAGTGTAATACAATACATGTACTATAATAAAACTATAATGTAAACTATATATAGTGTTAGAACTATATATATTGAAACTATTAAAACTATATATAGTATTAAAACTGTATATAGTTCTATAAAACAGACGGTATGTACAATACATGTACTGTAATAAAACTATAATGTAAACTATATATGGTGTTAGAACTATATATATTAAAACTATTAAATATATATTATAATAATATTATAATAACTATATATATTAAAACTATATATAGTGTTAGAATTATATATATTAAAACTATTAAAACTATATATAGTGTTATATATAGTTCTATAAAACAGACGGTATATAGATAGTATAATACAATACATGTACAGTTGTAATTACAGTACAATTACATGTACATGTAATTTCTAGTTTCTCGTCTTTTTCTAAAGATATTTCCATGGCACGCAGCAGGTGCAAGATAAGAGAATAAGGATCAAATTATAAAAATTTACATGACTTCAAAAGAACAGTGAAAAAAATTTCTTCGTGACGAAAATATGAATTTGCACAAAAAATCTGCAGTCTGCGCGTTAGGTTTACCTCGGACATCAATCTGTCGCGTTTATACTCGAGAGCCGCCAGCTCGCTTCTTAACGCAGTCGTTAGATCATGGGTCATGGCTCCTTCGTGAACGATCTACAACGAGAAATCCAAATTTCCACATAATTGTATTAAATATTTCCATTTCAAATAGTACCATTCTTTTAATTACGCTCCTAATGATATTAATTTACATGAACATCGGCAATCCAGTGATTAATCTTCAAGTACTATCAATCAAGTGATCGATCATGATTATCATCAATCAGAATTGAACAAAACATAATCTGATCGAGGCTTGATCAACGTGAACATAATTAATCATCGAATGGAAGATCGTAATTACATTTTTGATAATGCTCCATTCAGTATTTTGTTTGTAATAATGTTTTTCCTAAAATATCCTCGTTTACGATAGAAGCATAACTGTTGTTCTGACAAATTATTTACCAAAGCACAGGGATTCTTAATTAAGGAATTTCAAGGGGCAATTATTATATTTATTAGATATGCAATTGTATATTAATTATGAGGATAATTAGAAAAGTGGAATCTATAAAAAAACTACTAAAAAATATAAGGAATATCATATGTTGAATATTTCATATATTTTCCTCTATTACTTTCACTATACGTATTTTGTACACTATAAGTAAAATAAATAGAAATGTACTGATCCATTATTTAGTACTAGTCGATCGCGATATTCATAAACTATGGTCTTCGTTAAAATAAAATGCATTTAAATAAATTAATTACCATTGAATTTTTATTTAATAGAAATATATGAAATACTGATATCCTGAAACAGAAGATTCTTTGATTTTTTATTTAGAATGCAAGAAATCTCTATAGCTCGAAACCCTTGCAGATAAGAATCATTGGAAATCACAACAATTAGACTGTCACATGAACGATTAGATAATTTGCAGATGTTCGTCAGATACTTCACTGCGTGATAAAGATGAGTCGATATGTCTCGTGTTCATGACGTAATTATACAAAAAGTAACCTAAGACATGTTCTATTATATTCTCATGTATTTTACTTTGATTTCGAAGTTCTAAATAGAGTATGTTTATAATTCCTAGATACATCAAAATCCATCAATATGACTGATTCAATTATTTCGTAGATTATTTCATTTATATAAAATATACAACAATATAAAATCATCTATTAAGATTTCACCTATTTGACACTATTCATACATTCATACTTCTATTTCAACAAAAGCCAACATACTCTGACGATGTAATTTGAAACAAGAAATGTTGAGTATGATTGTCCTAGTATTAATTACGTTAAGAAAAATATAAAGTCCGCTTACTAACTTCGTATTTCGCGGCTGCGGATACGAAAGACACCGAGCGTGGACGATGATGAACGAAGGAAATGCGAATAAAGGCGACAGCGACAGGTAGAATCGATTGTATGCAACGCTATGGCAACCGTGGTAGCCCTGGCCGGTCCCGTGCCAGTCAATAAGTTTAACAAACGCACGCTGAATCGTACGTCAATCCAAATTATTCGTATATTTGCATAAATCGTGCGGGAGAGATACCTCAATCAAAACAATTGTTGAGGAAAAGGATGAGCAAAAATCGCATAGTTATCTTCTTCTTATATAATAGTAAATTCTCTTTCGATGATTCAATATAAACCAAAAAAAAAAAAAGAATTTCTTCGACTATCCATTAAATTTCATCTGGCGTGGACCACGAGTAATCATGAATTCGACAAATTTCACTGTTTCCATATACAATTTCTCTCCCTCTCATTAAAAATTCCTCCTGAAAACGAGATCCTGTGAACTGGTCTACAGGCACGTTGACACTGGCAGAAGCAGAAAACAAAATATCAGCGAGAAGCTTTTACACCTTTTTACAAGTGGAAAGTGCACTTGACGAGAGAAGAGTTTGCTGTTTATGCGATATGCAGAATCATCTCATATATATATGAAAAATCATTCCATATATTTATATGAAGAATCATTCCGTATATGTACATATTACACGTATGTATATGAAGTTTTGTGCAGATAAATGGTGCGTCTAAGCTCTGTGAGATACGTTTGATCTGACGCAAACGAGGAAGGACCTTTCGAGGCGATGATATACAAAGCGTTTCGAATATCTGAAGGTCCTCTTCAGTGGCGTCTTTCCTTTCGTCCGCTGCTTCTCTCGTTCCCTTCGTCGCTCTTGCTTCTTCCTCGCTCGACATCTTCCCCCTTGCTCTCCAATCGCTCGTCCGCTTCAACACTGTACTACATTTACACCTGCGCGTTCGTTGCACGTTGCGCGACGAATTTAAGAAAGACTTGCTTCCTTCATTGACATGTTGTTAGAGATCGTTTCCGGGTGGCAAACGCCTCCGAACGCCAACGTCCGAGAGTGTAAAAGCGTTTCCAGCGAAGACGAAGCGTCGATGCGCAACGAACCGCCGGTTTAGCATCTCCCTCGCGCGCGCCGACCTCCAGGCAATCGAATTTCATCGATCCGTGAAAATTACCCTCCGACTTTCTCAACTTCGTATCTTCGGTACGTATCTCCGAACATATGTATATACCTATTGTGAGATCATAGGCTGTTATAATCAAAACGAAAAGAAACCATAGGGTGACAATTAAATATTTTTCTGACTAGTGATAACGATGTTTCATGGTAGTGTTTGAAAATTGTTTTCGTTACCAGTAACCATTTTCGACGAGAGAGATTTATTTCGATTATTGGATACTACGGGTTTTTATATTTATAGGAAATTGTATATAATGTGCATAATATGAAATATCCAAAGCACAATACTTTATATTAGACGTAGTACGTAAAACAATTTTATTATATTCTTAAACATATGAATTATTTGTCATTATTTAATTTGATTGATTTAATTGATTAATATCTAATGATATTTAATTATCATTATTATGTTTCCAACTTGATTTGTCTCTTTGTTAAATTGATACAGTGGTAAGAAATGAAAATCTACAATGAAATAAGATGATAAGAAAAGATAAGGAAAAATAACAAACGAATACTTGAAATAATTATATAACATTCATAAGCATGATGTTAATAAATTGATAGAAAAAGAATTGCAAATGAAGTAGTGCGTGAAGATAACATTGATGGGCAATGAATTAATAAAAATTAATATAATAACAATAGTCATATATTAATAATAGTCGTATATTAATAATAATCAAGAAATCAGAAATGAATTTTACTATCCAAACATTTTGTTATCTGAACAGAATATTTATTATTTACTGATAGATGCCTTTTCTTCTACTAATTTATTTTTTATATTTATTATCTATTTTTCGGTGTTCTTCATAATTGCAAAATATGAGATACAAGATTTTTACTTAGAAAACAATATTAATAGAACATAAGAGACCATGTTTAATTTCATGACAAATTCATGTGACGATGTAATATATATGTAATTTTGCCATAAGTTGGAAGAATAAACGGAAAATGATGAGAGCATGAACACCGAAAAATAGACTTCGATGATTCGAAGTACAAAAGGAATATAACTCTGCAGAATTACTTACGTTAGAATTAGGTAATTTAATAGTAAATAAAACACAGCATCCTCAAATATCGAAATCAACTGATAGTTTTCTTGATCTCCACTTGGACAAGTATGTAATATTAGAAAAGCGGTTGTTTTATCATCCGGGAATTCCATTAACCAAATACTTTTATCTCTCTATTAGTTCGGAATGGAATGCTCTATTGTATTAGAAAATAAGACTCTTATCATCAAATAATACAAAAACAAGAGTATTTATTAGAGACTAAAAAGACTTATAATAAGAATAAAGATTAGAGTAGTCATTAAATTTTACTGTTTAAATTAAACCAATGACTGACCAAAATATCAGGTACGAATAAAAAAGGATGTGTATACGAAATTTATGGCTGTAATAAAATTATTTTGCAATAATAAAGACAATTGTAATCGCTCTGTTAATAAAAAAAGAATATACTTACTAAATAAATCAGTTTATGTTCGATTATGTAAATACTGAAATTCGGTAACGGTACAGCAGGAAAAGGAAATATGAAGATAATAACGGTAGTACTCGGCAGAGTAATTACATTGATATTTAGTTATTTTGTAATAATTATAGCTGAAACAAATGCAATAAATATTGTTATAGTGTAAATGTATAGTTCTTTATTTTCACTTATTATTAAAATATATGTATTTAATAATTGAGTGAAACAAATTTTTTACAGCATCCCACATTGAGTTACGCAGTCTTGGAGATTGCAAATGAACAATATACCAGATATAATCATCGGACATAAAATTAACATTTACCTTATTAAATTCGTTTTCAAAATGGAATTTTTATATAACAAAGTGAAAGTTTATTATATCTATATATATACATTACAAATTGATCCTTTTAATTAGTTCTTTTTAGAAATTTGATTGATTCACGGTCAACAAAACACTACCACCGCGTAGCGATGAAATGATGGAACTAATTACTATTACTATCCTTGTCGTTCTCTATTGGCCTCTGTATCTATTACGTGACGTATATCTACTCTTATTGCATATTACCGTACTTTTTCCTACGAATGAACAAAGTATTGCCATCTTTCAGCTTAAACTAGAGTCATTTATTTTAATGAGGCGAAACAGATGGCAGCACTTTAATTTTCTATAAACAAGGAGCGCAATAGTGTGCAACAAGGATAAATACATAGACTGCAATAATTTATGATAGTATTTCACTATATTTAATTACATTTTAATTTTCAGAAAGAAATTAATTAAGAAAATTTATAATTACAGATTTCTAATTAGAATTTTACCTTTTTTCCTACAGTCCAGATGACCGTCCACATAACATGAACTAAGAATGATACAAGTATAGCGAAACCCTATATACAAATCAACATTCCCATATATAAAAAACATTTATTTTAAATTTCATTCATTTTAAACGAAATATTTTGTACGGGTACAAACATTACAATCTTATTTTACATTAAAATGATTTATATTGGATCTGTACTGATCTGATCTCTGATTTCACCTAACACATCCCACAGATGAGTTTCATGTCTATACTATATCTTGTCTATGGTGGGAAAATTGTTTACGCCTACATATCATTTTTTCTAATGTTATATAGTATTAAAATGATTATGAAGTTGTAATAAATAATATTAAAGTATCATTTTTAATACTGTTGAAAGTCATATAACGCAGAAACTCTGTTTTAAATAAATTGTACTAAATGTTGTTACAGTTTGGTTATATAGGTTGCAAAACCAAAATTAATGTGTCATTTTTAAATATAACGAGACACTATGTAATGAAATATTTAATTTTTCGCCTTATTTCACCTGATATGTTCATAATTAACATGAATCAATTTTAATTTAGGCAAAGACGGGAGTTAGAACTCGGCGGAAAGGAAAGAACATAGCAACTAACAATACAATGGAAGATCAAAAATCAAAAATACCCATAATAAAGTGCAAAAAGAAAATGTACGATTTTTACAAAAGTAATATACGTACCAAAGAGAAACCAACATTAGCTAGTCATGGTTGGAAAAATAAGAAAACTAGAGATGATTATTTCTTCATATATCCTTATGACAATGTATATTTCACTTATAATAATTTTTGACTATTATTATCACTATATTATTCTTTTATTAATTGTAATTCATTTTTCAGAATGAAGAAACGATGAACGAAGAAGTTGATTTTAAAACTTTTAATGATCTTGGTTTAAGTTCTTCTTTATGTGAAAGTTTGGAGAATTTGGGTATATATAAACCTTTACAAATCCAAAACATAGGGATACCAAAAATTCTTCAAGGATCAAATGTATTATTAGCAGCAGAAACAGGATGTGGAAAAACATTAGCTTATCTTCTACCATTGATAACTAAAATTTTAATATGGAAACAAAACAATGTGCAAAGAACTTTAAATACTCCATTAGGTTTAATTGTGACTCCTTCAAGAGAATTGACAGTACAAATTGCGGTTTGTATTAACAATTCAATTTCACGCTTTCATTTATATAACAATATTTAATAAATACATTTGGTTTTTTTCTTAGCTGGAACTAATTAGTATATCCAAACATCTTGATATTAAAACAAAATTGATTACTGGTGGAAAGACGAAAAAAATGATATTAGATCCCCCTGTAGATCATGTTGATATTCTTGTTTGTAGTTTCGGTGTTGTTAGTAAATTAACAACATTCGGTGTATATAACCTCTCACTTTTAAGATACGTTGTCTTAGATGAAGCAGATGCTTTATTTCATCATACATTTCAGGAGAAATTACAAGTATTTATGAAGAGATTACCGGTATGTAAAAAAAAAGCAAGACATTCCATAAAATAAATACATGTAATAAAAGTTTTTAGTAATTATTTTAATTCATACAGATTTCATACCAATATAACACAACAACAGATGAATTTCCTAAAGCAGCTCAACTCATTTTAGTCTCTGCGACAATTCCTTCACGCATGGATATTGTATTGAACGGTATTGTAAATGTAAGTAACATCATGATTGTAAAATAACTTGGTCCCAATAGATCATTAATAATTTGTTTATAGACAGATTCCTTGGAACATGTAAAAACGGAAAGATTACATAAAATATTGGTTCCACAAAAATTTATAAGATTAATTCCAAGTCAAAAGCCAGTAGAACTAATGAAATATATAAGACCTAAAGTACGAAATAAAGAACGTGTGATTATATTCAGCAATCAAAATGGAACCTCCTATTGGCTTTCCTCATTTTTACGCGAATGCGGTATTGAAGCTACGAATTTAAATGGCGATATGTCATTAGAGGTACGAAGAGGAAAATATGGAGAATTTTTAAATGGTAAAACATTGGTGTTATCTACGACGAATGGAGGATCTCGAGGTTTGGATACAGTGATGGTTAATCACGTTTTAAATTATGATTTTCCACTAGACACGTCCAGTTACATTCATAGGTATTCAACTTAGATAAACGATTCTTATCTAAGTTTTCTTTTGAAAAGGCACTAAAATATTACGTTTTATTTAGATGCGGTAGAACTGGTAGAGTAGGTAGCAGAGGTGAATCTAGAGTAACAAACTTCGTTTGCAAATTAGCAGAAATCGTTGTAGTTCAAAAAATTGAGATGGCAGCTAGAAAAATGAAACCTATACCTATATTTAACCTTTTGGCTGATGAAAAGGAAGAGGAAATATTAGAAGATGATTATACAGGACAAATGATCGAAGATCTAAATGAAATGGAAAATATTCCATTCTGAAATTTATATATTATATAATAAAAAATATTTGTTACTATGTTATCACTTTTTAGTCATTACTTTAATCGTCGTTTTTTTTTTATCCTGCCTATTCACGTGATACGATAAAGAAAGTTTGTGAAGCCTTTGCAATAAATTTGGATAACGTCGGAGAATTTATCAAGCATCATCGCTGTTGAGTCTGTTTAATTCCGTTTAAGATTTTTCTACTTTATTAATATTTGGTATTCCATTAACAAGCAACGAATATATTGTATGTAGTGTTATTTATTTAATTATTTAGCAGTATTGACATGGACTTATATTATTTTTGAAATTACCGAAATTTATATTTTTAATTCGAGGAAGGAAGTTCTCGACCCACACGTGTGTTTTCACTCATCCGTCAATCCAATGTTCCGTCATGTCCGGCGGCACTCCTACAATAACCGCCTACATGTCGCAAACAGAACTTCTATAATCCAGACCGTACATCTAGATCTGTTTATTACTTACATTGCGTTTTAATGAAATTAAGCGCACTTGATCGTGCTGACATTCGTTTCTCTGTTCAAAGGGTATGTCATCATAATGCATAATAATGTACCAGCAAGAGTAGATTCTTGTCGACATCGTATCGTAAATAATACTACGATCAGATTAAAATCATTCCTATTACATATCTACTTCATAAGAAATCACAAACTATTGTGTTTTGTTACTCTATAACAAAAATAACTCGTAATGTAACTAGTTTTTTTATTAATGAAACACAATGTATAGAATATAGTAACAAAAAAAGAGGAAATGGAAACGGAAATATAACGAATAAGAAAGAGCAAAGACAATGGAAATAGATTACATAATTAAGGTTGATGCATAGGACATACATATGTAGGTAAATTTTACAGATATCTGCATAGATACACGAATTAAAGAAATAAATTTAAGCTTCTGTGCATGTAATTCTTTCAGTGAGTGAGATATATACTTATTTTCGAAGTATATATTGTGAAAAGTGATTGCTTTACAAGTACACATATTTCAATTGTTTTAAAAATAATTTCTAGCAGCCTTCGTTTTTCACCGAGACTATAACCCGATACTTTAATTCAATCTCAATTCCTGTTAAAGAATCAGACACTGCTGACCTGTATTACGAAGAGTCAATTCGTTGAATTACAGCCATCATGAATCAGACGAAGCGTTATAACACTTTTAATAATTCTACGCACGATTTTTAAAACTGGTATCGTCAAATGAATTGACGAAGAAATGAAATGATGAAATCTTAAAGTAATAAACTGTAATTCAAATGAAATATAAATTGTAATTAAAATGAAAAAAAAACGTGCGTCCATAAATATGTGAATGTACGTACATGTAAGAAAAATGTATACATACATATATATGAGAAAAAAAAATTTGGTTTGCTCGACTGCCGGCAATTTATCCTCGTAACGAGCGGTGTACACACATAGTTTTCAAGAGACGCGAACGTCGAAGTGGAATGGAGTGGGGATGTCGGTGACCGTCGAACTAGAAACGAACTCAGTTGTTTCGCGACGCGCAACCTGTTAGCGTCGTGGTATCGTGTCATCTTCGATTTCGTTCCATTTAACAGTTTTTTCCTCCAATTTCTTTGTTCGACTCGTGTCCCTACAGTGTTTTCATTCGTTCATCGTCGAGATCGTTTTGCGCGCGAGGAGCGATCTCGAGATTCATGCTCCGATCTGATCGGAGGAAAGGATACGGATCGACACGCCAGGTCCGGGTTGACGAACCCTCTTGAAAGAAGCGGACACGTCGGTACTGTAAAAATGCAGCGCGTCGTCGGAGCGTTTGGTTAACACGCAATATACCTGCTGGTTGCGCGCGAACGAACGAACGGCAGTCGGCAAGTAACGTCGGTGAAAATCCAGTCGGGCAAGGGAGCAGTTGCGTTACACTTGAAGTAAAAAGAAAAAGAGAGGATCCCGGTGTATGTAATCGGAACGGCGGCCACAAGGTCGACACATCGACGACGCATTGCTGGATCGCTACCTGAACAGTGGAATCGAGTTTCAATTCGAAATCGATGGATTTTCAAAATCAAACTTACAATACCAGTGACTGTGCCTCTGCATCGAGTAAAACAAATAATACTTTTTGTATCGTAGTTTCGTAAAACGCGTTCGGTACAACAGCACGCTCGATCGATTGTTGACCGATCGATACGAATCGTTCGGTAATATGTGCAAAGAGAATACCAAATCCGAAAGGGGAACGCGGTGAATGAGTGTGGTGTGTCAGTGGAAAACGGTATCGTTTATTTTACGTCGGTAAAAAGACTCCGGAAGCCGCTATATTGGAGAAGAAGCGAGAAAGCGGCGTGCCGCTCTTCTGTGTACCGCGGCAGAGGCGATCGTCACAGTCCGAAAATGTAAGTTTTGTTCTTTTCTCTCTGGATCGGTAAATCATTGTATCCAGTTGAAATTTTATTCACGACGCATACATAACACGCGCAAGATATATCTTTCTAAGTATATCATCGCGATACGAGATATACCTATACTTGTCCGAGATAATCTCTACACGAAATTTTGCTCTAAATACGATCTCTCGAAAGACGAATATCTTGCGAGAGAACTTGTCTCTTGCTTCGAAATGCTAATTTATATTCCGCAAGAAAGTTGGGTTAATGCCGGAGAATACCGGTAGGTGAAGGTCACCGTTGTTCATCGGACGCCAATACCGTATTACCAGCGAATTCGTGGCGCTGCAACACGACATACGTACATACGTCTTTGTATGTATCCTGCTCAACTTCCTGCCAATCGACTGTCCTATCTGTCCTTATATGTAGTACACTATATTTCCCTCTTCGTTGAGAGTTATCTAAAAGGCGAAATAAGTAGTCTCTGTCGGTAATTTCTCGATACTTAAAATTAAAATCTCTTTCAAATTTTTGTCAATCTACGATCCATTTTCTTTTCATAGTTTTCTATAGTACAGTCCAGGTATACTCGTCATCATCGACTCGTAACCTCATTTTACAAGCACAAGTTTGATGTGTAATATCATAGATGTCTACTATAATAATCTTACGCATTTGTCATCCACGTGTTTCACCGTTAGTGTTAACGAATCCATTCTAGTTTAACATTTTCATGGGCGAGATTAATGGAAATTGATGATTTAGAATTGTTGTTACGATTAACAATGATGTCGCTGATCGAACAAAGTTTTATTGGCTCGAGTAGGGAATGGATGGCATCATCTTGAACACCAGTTATAATGGCTCGTTGTTCTTTTACCGGTAATATATATCGTTGGAAAAAAAAAAGAAATGGCAAAAAAAAATGAACATATCCCTATGTAGCTATTCCAGGGAGAGAAACCTTTGTGCGTAGCGTATAATGTTATTGTATTCTCGGCACATATAGGCAATGGGAGTTCGTTATTACGCCTACTTCCGGTGGTCGGTTCATGGCGCGGAGTAGCTCAAGCTTTAACAGTCTGGTCGAATATTTCAAGTATACATCGGACATGGGAGTTATTTGAATAAAATATTCGAGAAATGATTATTGAAATAATATATCTTACTGGCAATGAAATAATTGAAATAATATATCTTAATATATCTATCTGACTCGAGATGTTATTTTAGAATGATCCCACGTTAGTTTATTTTGACCAGGCAAACGATTCTATTTTTTTATATTATTTGATTTCACTGTGAAATAAAGTAATATTTTATTTCGTTTTGTTTCCTGTTTATTTTGCATCTGTTTCCGCAAATAATTTTCCACATAGCTTCCGATTTATACGAGCTTTTTGCTGAGATCGTTTGCAAACGATTCGTTTGATTTCGATCAAAGACAAAATTACTTTTTCTAAGTTATTTTTGACATTTTTATTTTTTGTCTTTTATAAATTAATTGACAAAAAAGAACTGGTAAATGAAATGTTACATTGATTCTCAATGGTCCAAGAAATATTCCACAACGTTGAAAGATAGAATTGGCTAATATAAAGTAATTGAAAAAAGAAAAAATTTCGTTAACGCAACGTAGCTGTCGTTTGTCCTTTTTGACCTGTGTTTCCACGAATCTCGGAATGCTTAAAAACCCGAACGAAAGAAAAGTGCTATACCTGCGGCGAGTGTGATTCGTGTGAAAGGTATAACCCGCTATTTGAAAATCCCGAAGAAGAACGCCAATACCAGCTGGAATTTTAGAACAGCTGCAGACGCATTCCTAAGCGATACCCGACCAGACTTGCCTCGGGTCTACAGATACGCTCGTAAAGTCGACTTCTTGTCCCGACTTCACTCAACTCTGGTCGAAGTTGATAAACAAAAGTTGCTCTGATTTTGCTCGCCAATTTGCGCAATATCACAGCTTTCGTGAAATAGAATATGTTATGTACAGTATGTAATGAACTCACTTCGGACATATTTTGTTATAATATACTCTCCTTTTATAATGTACTAAATTATAATTATAATTATATTATAAAAGGAGAGTATATTATAACAATATTATAACTATTTAGTAAATTATAATATACTATCTCCTCTGAGATATTTATAATTTATAATTATAAATAGAATAATTATAAAGATATATATAATTTATACTCTATAATATTTATAATTTACTAAATAGTTATGCCAAAGAGCTACTTTCATTAATTAATTAATAAAAGGAGAATAGATAAAGTACGTATATACATAAATACAAAAATAAAAATGGGAAAAGACGTTATTGTCTTTATCTATGTACATTATATACACGTACATTAAGTATATTGTCACACTCTTAATTAACTAGAACTACCAACAATTAAAGCATAAAATAATGTTTCTGTTAAGAGACAAAGTTTCTGGTATAATGTGTTTATAAATTTTACGAAAAATCATTTAAATCTCCAAAAAAAAAAACCGCATCGCTGTAAATTTACAGAATTTTCTATAGAAAAATTGCCATTTTGGTTGTTTCCTAGATTTTATGATTTCATAAAAAGAAAAAAATTGCAGCACTTGTGATATTATGATAAATTATCGTTTGGTTGTCAAGGGGGGGCCAAACAATTAAATTGAACCGATTATTTATTTAATCCAGTTGAATCGTCGTCCCCGAGATGCTCGTTTGCAGCATCGTACCTATTAGTACCGTGTCCATGAAAGACAGGGGATGAAGCGGAATGTCAGCGAGTAAACGTGTTTTTCCTGAACGATCTATAACGCCTAGACCGTTTCCTGCGGCAATAACCTTTCCCCTGGAGTCGAATATATCGTCGGGCGATCGTGTGCCGGTGTCGGGTTGACAGGATACAGGTTCTTTAAAAGTAATCAAAGGCAATTAATTAAAGCCGGATGCGTCGATTGACCTCTGAATAAGTTTGCCAGGGTTCGAGGCACCGGAGATTTGGCTCTTTCGTTACAACTTTCGAGTTTGTTCTTTGTCATTGTTGACGACGTGTGTGCGAGCCTCGATCACGCTTGATTTTACAAACGCTTCTATAAATTCGCTCCGCGTTGAAAATCATAGGCGTTTGTCGTTACCAGGTATTTACACGTGTTAATTATAGATTCGCAAGCATATAGAAATAGATATCTCGTCTTTCTGCAACCCTCCGTCGCGACCCGCAATTGATCGTTGAGGGGAACGGACCCTGTCTATCGATAGACGATAGATAATAAAGCAGAAGTCCTGTTATTTTTTACTTTATACGCGAGTAGTATGCAATAGAGTGCAGTCGCTGAGTGGATAAGACTAAACTATGCAGTTTCAGTCCTGTTTGTCACCCCTGGAATTTTTCATCTGATAAAAATTTCGCTCTTTGAAATCTCTTGTTTTTGGAGTTCTGAGAATTTTATTAAGAAAAGTTGTCCAAGTAGAGAGCAGGCTGTGATAATTTGTTCCTAGCTGATCGGATTTTCGAGATTTCACGATCATTTCAAGATTCAGTTTTCTACTACAGCATGAGACAATGTCTTCCAGAAAAATAAAAAAACCCAGAATTGTGAAGGTAGAAGCCCCGTGCTTTCAAATTTGCCCAAATGAATTGCTGTGTTGTTTTCCTTTTTTCTTTTTCACAACGTGTCGATGTTGAAATAACCATATTTGCATTGAGTAATTATTTCCATAAGATGACGACACATGTTGTCACGCCCGTAAAACACTTTGTAGCGAAGAAATGCATCGTCACGCCCATAATATCGTCGTGACGAACTATATCGTGACGATAATGACACGAAAGCAATAATATTTCCTTGACACAACGGTAATTTCGTTAACGATTCCCCAAAAATCGAAAATTCCCTATCCAAATATTTATGGGAGTGACTGTATGTAAGAAATGCGATCGGAGTAGCGACATACAGGCCGGAACAACAGGACGAGCGATTCTTGCTCGAAAGAATCGAATGCGAGCACAGTACGACGCTGTACACGTGAATGTATATACTGTTATATCACAGCGTGTGGCTAACTGTAAAAACGATCAGGCAGAGTACCAGATCGTAAGTAACGCTTAGTTACTTGCGAATAGCGTTGTCACCGGTGCATCGGGGAACCACCATCACTTGACACGCGAACTACCTCTAGACCCCTTACCGAGACGTTTGCTAGGAATAGCGGCTGATCTGCTCATTCACCATCTACTCGTTTCACCCGTTTTGCCCGAGTAAACTTCTCCTCGCTGCCAGAGCGCATATCCATAGTGAGCTGATCCTTAGTTGCGTGTCAATATTTCAAGTGGCCGGTAAATTTAGTAAAAAAAGAAATTGAAAAATAAACCTCTGCTCTACATACGTTAGTTTTCGAGTTATTGGTGAAATCTATCGGTGAAAACGTCAATTTATCAAGCAACGTTTCAACGTTGCAGAACTTCTTCTGAGAAGACGAAAGTTCCTTATTTCTGCAAAAATTTCCAGCGAGTACATTTCACGACAGTTTTCTTGGAACAAATTAATTACTTCGTGATTAATTGATTATTTTAACAATAAGCTTCGATCGTCGGTCGAGATACAAGGCAAACACACTGAACATTTACCTCGGTCATTTACTAAGGTATATAGGACGCAAGTTCAGGTGACGATTTTTTTTTACTTATTTTTACTATCGTATTGACACTGACGTGCGACGAAGAATCATCTGCGTATAATTACGACATAACAAACAGCTGTTACTTGATATATCACAAAGTTTCAGATCGCTCTGCAATTTTACAACGACGAAGCTTTCATCGTACGGTTCGGCAGAGTCGCGCGGTGTTGTTTCAACTTTCGCAAACGCATGGTTTCACGATCGGTTTGCCGAGGACAGGCATAACATGCGCTCTATCTCATTACGAAAGTAACCGTGTCCTGGTAGAAACGTTCGATTTACCCTTTTACGGAGGTGCGAATGAAACGTACACTACCGTTCAAAAGTA